TGAGTTTCCCCTAGATTTTCTTTTTCCCTTTGAGTCTTCTTTCTCTTCTCAAAACAAAAATGAAAACACTTAATAAATACAATGAGTATTGCGCGCCACGAGCCTTAAGTATATGAGAAATGATGAGTGATGAGTTTCTCCTTACTTTGTCTAGGTGTTTAGCATACGTCTCGTTTAGAGAAGATCTTGCAATGCATTCGCTCCTATGTCATAGACTTTAATGCAATATGAATCTCAAACAAGTTTAATTCACTTCTGTTAAAATTCACAAACAAACTGTAAATCATTTTATTCTTCGGGATTTTCTTTCAAATCATTTTTAGAAAGAAAACGTTATTTCCGTTCAACCACAAACAGACATCGACCCTAACTGTTGGGACATGAATTTAATGTCGCTCATAAAAAGCACCTAACAATTCGTCTTTCGAACTACGATCACTTTGATTTCCTTATTCTCGTTTGGATAAGGATACGTAGGCACAAGACGGTGAAGTCTTGGCGAGCAACCTTCCCCCATCACTTGTAGTCCTTTGAACTACGTTGACTCTGACTTTCCCATTACACGAGGGAATACGTAGTCCTAGGATGGCGAAGTCCTATCGTGTCTTCTTTTTGTTTTTTCCCTTTCTATTTCCGTTAGCATATAGGCTTTAGATAAGCACACTCTTTAATTAGAACAACATGCGTGGATCCCGTTGAGTACAACGGACGTGAGGGGTGTTAATACCTTCCTCTCACGTAATTGACTCCCGAATCCAGGATTTGGTTGTGAGACCATGTCTTCTCTCTTTTTGAGGTTTCTTCGATCGTTTCCTTTCCCCCATCGAGATAAATAACGTTCGGTGGCGAATCTTCTGTTTTTTTCTGCCGGTTATTTTTTCGCAGTTGCGACACATATACAAATTAGAAATGGTAGAATCATATGATATAGATGATGAATTACATAAAAACATGATTCTAATGCCATACCTTTTGTTGATCTGAGATAAACACATCTTCTTTCTTGCCCAATATATTTCATTAATAGTTATAGAAACTACCTTCAACTCTCATTTGTCTCAGTTTCAACAACACCAAATGCCAAAAGGAAGTATTAACCATTGGATCCCTACCCACGTCAATTAGTAATTGTCCTCCATATTTGGTCTTTAAGTGATAGCCATCAACCCCAACAAATGCTCTACATCCATTTATAAATCCTTTCTTACAGCCATCAAAATAAAAGTAAAATGAGTTAAACATTGGTTGTATCGAGGGCATTGGTCTATCAACATTAATCTTCACAATATTCCCAAGATTAACCCTTATCAATTCAGCTGCATACCTCCATAGATCTGCATATTGTTTATCAGCATCACCTTTAATTATTTTCTTTGCAATCAGCTTTGCCTTCCATGCTCTAGCAACACTTATACCCACTGAAAAATTTTGTCTGATATCTTGCATAATATCATGGATCCTAACTGTTTCACTTATTTGTATTCTCTTGAACACAACTTTCGCCACCCACTTTAAGCTTGCAGATCTGCTATTCAATACCCTAGCACATGTGTACATCAATGTTTTTATAGCATATGTGTGCTTGTGGGCCACTTTTGAGCATAACACTAAAAAACCACATTTAGTCTTGCACTCTATCCTTACCCTATATCTCTCATTTTTCAAAAATGTAATTTCTCTACCATTTAACAATAACCATTCACGAATTGTATCTCTAAAATCAACTAGAGAATTAAATTTCATACCCCACTTAAACTTGTAGTCCTTATTGAGTTGCTCTTTCCTAAACTTCTCAAACTTGGACCTTTCATCACCAGATTCATCTGGATCTGAACTGTCAAATCCATCACTATAATAATCATCTTCTTCAATTTTTTTGTTGGGCCTACCTAAGAATCCAGCAACTCACTCCTCTACATTTATAGGTAGAGTTACATCAACTCCATCAAATCCATCTACAAGAGCAGTAACTCTTTCATCCTCACTATCATCTAGCCCTTCAACCACCTCATCTTCTAATCCTTTCATTTTTGTTACCCCATTAACACACTTAGGAACTCTTACCCTAAGTTCCATGTTATCAACATCATGCTAAATAAATATATTTCCGTCAACTTGATTTGCACAAGCATAAGTTGCAAAATCGTATACATCACCATCCTTTCTTATTTGAAAGAAATCAGCATCAATTTCCAATATTTTAGTCTACAACCTATAAGTACCTTCCTTATATGTCCACCTATTCACCAACTTGCGAATGGTTCTCATTGTCCAGTTCTCAATGTGTTGCAGATACATTCGTATCAACACCCCCTCTGTATATAATCTCGTTTTGCTTGAGCATAATAAATTCACCCATATGGTGAAAACTAACATTGAAATGTTGCATATCCTGTGAATAAATGTTCAAATTACATTTAAGCTCTATTTCGTATGCAAGCAAACCTATATCACCTAGGGTTCAAGTTCGTATGAAATCACGGTTACAGTTCACAATAAGGGTCGAAATCACTAATCTCAGACACCGTAGCTTCAATGTCGTCTTCTTCCTCTTCGTCTACAACCAAAATTGTCGACCACTACTCCGTCTACAATCACAATCGTCGTTGTCGTCCTCCTCACCTGAGCTGAATTTGGTAATTTTTGGGAATGGTAACCCTAACTATTACAGGGGGTAAATAAATATTTACATTGTGAAATATTAAACCCAAATTAAAAGAATAATGCCATGGTGCCATGCTGAATATGTTCCACACTGACAAGTTTTGGGAATCTTGGATGAAATGTGGCAATCGGGAGCCTAAGTAACAGGATCTGGGTATTACGAGGGGAGATTAAAAAAAATCTTTTACAGGGGGTAAAACTGAATCTCGCTAATTTTGTAGGGGGTGTTGTGTATTTAACCATATTTTAAAAAAAATTTATAAAATCCATTTTTAAAAAGGCAATTTCTTATCCCCTCTGTGTAGGGTGGAAAAACACCATATAGAAAACTAAAAATGTTCCTCATATTTCATTAATTTATCTTCAGATGCACACTTGTTTTAAGTCAAAAAATTACAACTGATACAAAGATCTCCGAAATATTTCAAAACACCACATGTATCTCACTGAGTCACACTAACATATTTTGTAAACACAAATATGGAGTGAAGAATTTTTGAAGTTGATGTAGTTGAATGAAATCTTTGATGTTGTTTCGTGCTAGTGAAGAAGCTTTAATGTTGTTTGATTGATTTTGAAACAATGTGATTTTAAGAAAGTTTTAGAGAGAAAAAAATTTTAACAAGTAAAAAAGAAGGGTTTTGATGCACTATGCACAAACAACGCCCAAATATGCATATATGTAATATTTACGAAAATATATCTCTAGAATTTTTTTACATTAATTCAAATTTTTATCGATTTATGGTGCATCAGAGATGCATATTCGAATTCCAAAAATATTTTTGTGTTTTGACGAAGTGCCATAATAATACACATGGTGCATTAAAGAATTCCATTTTAAAAATAAAATAAAAATCACTTTTTTAAAATCTAAAATAAACAGGTCCAATATGAAATGGATGGAAACGACTAAAGTAGATCACTTTAATAAAACTATGAAGTAGGAGTCTAATATAATTCTCAAAGTAATACAAAAAATATCTAAAAAATGTGATTTTGCCATTTGTTTATCTACTGGAGTATTATTAGTTACGCACTAAAAGTTTATTCACTATAGTCGTTTTATGTTTGTTCTTGTAGGCATCCCACTAAAAGCTTAGCCACCTTAACAAATTCATAATGACTATTCCCTCAGCTCCACTAGAAAAATGCTTTGGTTTGAAAATTATAATTAAAAATGATAAAATAAAATTACTGTACTGCCTAAAATGAGACTGCTCACTTTAGAGGAATCCAAATATCTTAATTTTATTCAATTTACTTTAATTTCAAATTGATAAAGAGAAAGGTTTATCCTTTCTTCTACCTGTGACATTTGAAGAAACACATCTTCACGATTCAACGATTAACAATGGCTCTAAACCCAATTGAAAATTAGACTATAATCAAACAAACAAACAGGAAACTTCAGAGTTATTAACAATGTGAATCAGTGTTGTTATTTTCATTCCACCCACTAGGTACCATGGTTATCAATATCTCCATTTAAATTTTAAAATCTTAAAGATTTTGCAATCTCACTCACCCCACCACTCACCCCACCGATCTAGATCCTAAGTAGAATCGTGAATTGTAGTCAAATTGAAGAAGAAAAAAAAGGTAAAAACATTGATCATGGGCAATCTTGGCCAGTTTCGGCCACGATTGGCCATTGCAGGCCATGAAGGATGACAAAGATACGGAAGCGCAACAATCATGATTTGGCGGCGGCGTCTACGAAAATATCATGTAGAAATATTTCAAATATGCAGTATTATTTTATGTTTTAGTAGTATCTTACGATTATTGTTACAATCTTATGTTTTACAATTTTGATACCCACTCTCAATCTTACAAAAATAATTGAGTAGGATCTTCCAATCTTAGTTACGATCTTATATATTACGATCTATCTATCCTCTCCCAATAATCTTCTCCAAATACAAGCCTAGGACTTATTTACCAGTAAAGAAAGAAAATAGTGGGGAGTTATATATCATTGAGTTCGTTAACTATATATAGTTGATGTCGATACACACCATGAATAGTTAATATTAATTGATTTCTGGGTTATAGAGTAGGAATTAAGATAAGCAGAATCCAACTATAACTACATATGAAGGGTTAATTACACTGATTGGCATGTCAAATACAGTTCCCCTCAGTTAAATATAGATTCATAAGGACCAGATCAAGCAAAATCAATAAAACATTTGATATACAAATGTACACCCCATCATACTAGGTTTTCGCAAATATTTAGAAGGGAACGGGTGGGAAGATGATACAGTAAAAATACAAGTAAAATCACAACAGGTTGGAACAAATCAAATCAACAAAAGAACTAAAGGAAGTTAGAATAACTTATCATATTGGCTAGTGAGTGAACTTCTTAGATTTGAATAAAGACCGTAGAGTGAATATTGGCGAAGGTTTTTCACTTCATACCAAGAATTGAGAGCTGATAGGTGTTTATCAGTGCCAGAGAATGCCAATTGTATACCTAAGCTGCAATCCACAAGTCCTCCATGGCTCTTGCAAGTAGATGTTTGTAGTGCACAATCCTGATTGTTAAGACAGACAGCTTTTGAATTTTTCGGGCATTTAGCACACCCATCTCTTTTCCAATATAAATTTTGCAATCTTCCCTTCGTAAACTCAAGAACCTGCAGGGGTAAGATTTCAATTGGTTCTTAGTAAGGATTACAACTATGAGAATACAATAAGAACCCACAATTATTGAAAAGTTTTTTTAAAAAGAGGAAATCAATCTCCATACAAGAGTAAAACTGGTTACAGTATATGAGCCATTTGCAACAAAAGCGGGAGGGGACCTTGCTGCATATTTACGACCAGCAAATGCAACCATGTAGCCATACGAGTCCTGGAACAACGACAAACATACAATCCCACGTAAATTAATCAACAGACACAAAAAAGAAAAAGTTAACCAAACTGCTGATGAAATTAAGCCACCACAAGTCAAGCATTAAGAACCTAACAGACTCAATTAGGGAACTATATAAATTTACGCTTGCTTAATTTAAAAACTAAGGCAATGCATGTTCTAGCAAGTGGAGAATGGGAATGTGGAAAACATAAATAGAATTTAAAAGGAGTTAGATAAAGTTTGTGATCATCACATTTCTCCCAAAAAATTAATTTTAACTGATTTTCATGCCTCCAAAACTTTTATTGTAAATTAGTCTATGCTGTTAATCTCAGAGATCGCCGCGTAGCAGTGACCCCCTAATTTACACTGCAAATTTGTGCTTGCTTGGTTTAAAAACTGAGGCAATGCCTGTTCTAGCAAGTGGAGAATGGGAATCTGTTCTATGTTGTTAATCTCAGAGAGCGCTGCGTAGCAGCACCCTCCTAAAATGTTATAGCGGATGGCGCTATGGCTGCTATTGCAAAGAACAAAAAGCAGTGTACAAAATTAAAGAACTCATCATACTAACCTAAAGTATATAACAATAAAGCTTAAGTAGAGAAGGACGTAACGAAACTGAACCCAAAGTAGGAAGATGAACAAAATGGTTGGTTGTGAGCAAGAAGATAACAAAATGATGAACAAAACATTACTCTTAAAAGGATTCAGATTGAAATTTTTTATACCATTTTAAAAAATTTAAAAAAAATTTAAAAAAAAAAAAGAGAGAAAATTATAAAAATATGAATTTTAGGAATTTATCCCTGAAACTGAAACCCTATAATAGCAGATGTGATAGTAGTTTGGGACGACGGCTAGCAGACAAAAGCATTGCACTGAATCCTACCACCGCTACGCTATTAACAAGAGATAGAAATTAGATGTGCTTCTAATATAAATAAACAGAACGTATATATGTAAAACACAATATCAATCACAAGTTGTTACTGCCCAGAGCACAATGCTCCATCAGAGTCCTAGATTGCTCTCTGCCTTGCATAAACCAGAAAATACACAATGATAAGAACCCTTAACTTCCTAAGCTTATTTCCTTAAAACTAAACACAAGACACAACCTATTCATCCTCAAAATTGATCCCCCCATTACATTAACTAACTGCCCCCTCCCTTCTCTGTCCTAAACCTCCTCTCATACACACTACGATTTTAGCATGGTAACCACATCAGCACTAACTTCCCTTTCAGCTTCACTTTCAACTATCCCTCACTTTACGTTTAGAATGCAGAAGTGAAGTAATTTCTGTGAAGCACGGACACCCCGAAAACAACACCGACACGACAAGACCATTAATGATTTGAAAAATAAATAAATCAGGTAATCACAATTGTCGGTGTAGATGTCAGACACTGACACACCATTTTAAAGAAGGTGTCAGAGCTAGGTAATTTCACTCCCGAAATCTCCAACTCCTCGTTTTCAAGTAAATAACAGCAAAAAATTGAAAACTAAAAATATAACTAACATTTTCACCAAAACAAAGAAATATTGATCCATATACATCAGAACCTCGATCATAATAATCCAAAGTACCATAAAATTAGGGTTCAGTGGATATTTTCCAGTTAATTAGCATTTGGCAACAGCACGAAGGAAACAACATCAAAGAAACTGCGCCCTAATTGAATCCAGTTTTTTCAATTAACAACAACAAAAACCAGAAACTCTAAAAAAATCAAGCAAATATCCACTACTAAAATTGAAATTTGGAAACAGAACAGAGAACTAACCGCAACGAATGAGGAAGAATTAACCGTTAGGAGCGAGATCTCGTCGACCTTAGGTCTGAACAAAGAGATCTGAGAGTTGGAATTGGAGAGAGAGAGTCTAGTATCGCAGGGAGATAACTGAACGCTGTTATTGTTGTTGAAGAAGAACTTATCCTTTGCGGCGAACGCGAGTCCAAACGTGAAACCGTCTGATCTCTGCACGCGTGTGTCCGTGCATGGAGAGAATACTTTGTTTGTGTCGCCGGCGTATGCCGGTAATGCCGCCGCCAGAAACGCCACAGCGATTGCTGCCGTTAGTGCGCTGATAACCGCCATGGAAGAAGATTCTGGAGGTTTTGCGTTTTGGACGAGGCAACACGAAGTTGATGATTACAGTGCGAAACTGCTAATTCGGTTTTCTTTGGGTTAATTCTTTGGGTTAAATCCAGGTGTACGTTTGATTGAAAAGTTAACGCCGTTTACTTGAAGTTTGGTCAAGTTGCATTACAACTTAAACGACGTCCTCGTTCAAATTCAAAAAACTATTTAGCTTCTATTTTATTTTGAAAAAAATTAAATAACTGTTTTTGATAAATTATTTATTTTATGGGTAATGTTAACTTGTGCCCTTGAGGCACATTTTAAGAACTAAATTAAGAAACATTATCTTGGAAATTGTGTATAAACTTTAATTAAAATATAAAATTAATTTTTAAATCGTTTTTTCCAATACAAATTTACTATAAGTGGTTTTCTTAACATGTGCCCCAAGGGCACAAGTTAACATTACCCTTATTTTATTATGACGGAAAAATATAAAAACACTTTTTACTACCTATCACTTACAAAATGCCGCAAAATTAAAAGATTTATTTAGTACCGAAAAGTTTAATACTTTAACTGAGCTGATGTGACATGATAACAAAAATATATTTTCATTAGTGATTCAACAAGGGATTATATTAACATTACAAGACAGTGTTTCTTCATTGTAACGCTGTCACGCGTTTTAGAGCTACTATTCATCTTCTTCCTTTAACATTCTTCTTACAAATTTCTTCAAGAACCCTTTTCTTCCAAACCATCATTTTCATCATTTCTGCTAAGATATCAATAAATTCCAGTAACTATTCAAAATCAAACAACTAAAGTTATAGGTTATTTGGATATATGGTCATAAGAAATAATATGAGAGATTGTTGGTGTCAAGAAGAGTGTATTATGCTTACTGTTACATATTTGAACAGTGCTAATGTTAGAAGAAAGTTTTGCTTGTAGGAATTACAAAAATCAAATGGAGATGAAATTGTTGATGGAAGGGATTTGAAGATTGAAATGCAAAGGAAGAAAGTATTTAAGTTAAAAAATGAGGTTTTAAGCATAAGAGGAATGTTGAAAATTGTAATAGTGTTTGGCATTATTAGTTTAGGCTTTAATTTAGTTTTTTTAACCATGTACTTCAAATAGGGTTGTGCTCAAAGCAGTGTGTAATTTGATGTTATGAAACTATTTAATCTCAGTGTTGGTTAAATGAAATGTGGTCTGTAATATTGCATTAACTCTGTTTAATCATTTATGTTATAACAAAGGTGTTCTATATGATATAAAGTGGTCTGTAATATTGTAGAAGAAGGATTAAAATATTGTTTATAATATTAAATAAGGGACTTAACTGAAACAAACTAATACATAAGGGACCGTGTTGAAATTTATATGATTAGGTTTTATGCTCTAACCAAACTGCAAATACATCAGCCATGTTGCATGTTATTTATCACAACCATCATGGTGTTCATCTTAAAGCAAACATAATGAAAAGACAATTTAATATAAGAACAAAATGCATTTGCATCATGATAATCATTGTTACATATGTGTTCATGGACACTATTACAAAAGACTAGAATTTAGTGTTCATTAACAATAATACAAAAAGGCTAATACAAAAAGACCAAAACTTAGTGTTCATTGACACTAATACAAAATACCAGAATTTAGTGTTCATTAACACTAATATAAAAAGGTCAAGCTACACAGACTGTTTGTGTTAAATGACACTAATACAAAAAGCTTAAGTAGATCATAATGTGGTTGCTTTAGGTTGGGTGGTCTGAGTTGGTGTAGACTGGCTTGCTTCATGTTGGATGGTCTGAGTTGGTGCAGACATACTTTCTTCAGGCTGAGTGGTCTGAGTTGGTGCAGACTGGCTTGCTTCAGGCTGAGTTGATTGACTTGGTGCAGACATCTTTCAAGTAGCTTTGTTGTGCCTCATCATGTGGCATATGTTGTATTTGATTCTAAAGTTATATTTCTTTAGTTGTGTCTTGCCCCTTATATTCTCTGATGCATCCCTAGTCCTCTTCTTCTTTGGCCTTCCTAGTTGTCTTTTGATTGGTGGTGGCTGCAAATCAACATACTTTGTTTTCTCCCACAATGTCTCCACATTTACTAGATATATTAGAGGTGCATAACATGCCTCATAACATGCTCTTTTTTAGAAATCAGGCACAAAAGTGTTAATCTCCAATTGTTGAGATTTCATGCAAGATATTGCATGACAGCATGACAACCCTGTCAACATCCATCTCATACAAGAGCACTCCTTAGTGGACAGACTTACAAAATACTTTTCACCATTATATAAGATATGTCTAACCTCATAATCAAATTCACCTGCACGCCTGTGTAAAACATAACAACAACTCAACAAATATAAAACACTTTTTAAATGAGGAAGCAATTCAGCATTCAATACCTCACAAGCCATTTGTTTGATTTTTCTGATTCCTTTGTTATCCTTTTCTTGATATTTGGTAGAATATCACCTTCATATTTGGAAATCTTCTTCCTGTTTGACTCCCACTTCATCATGAGATACGCTCTAATCTCTTCAATCACTGTTACAATTGGTTTGGCTCTAGCTATGACATAAACAGAGTTGAATGTCTCTAACATGTTGTACACTAGAGTATCACATAAAATATTGGTTATGAACCTAGACTTGCTCCAAAACCTTGTTGGAATCTTTATCAAATGCTTGAATGTCTCCTCATTAACAACTTTCATTTCAAGCATGATTTTTTCCCATGCATTCACGTAACTAGTTGTAGTAGTTTTCCACATGAGTTCTTAGAGCTTTATGCCTGGATATTTATTTCTAAAGTTGTTGTATAGATTCCTTGAAATACATAAAATTCATAGTTAAAGAACAATCTTGAAACCTATAGAAAGATAAGGGATAAAGTGATAAAGTATACCTGACACAAAATCTTTGGTCTACTCCAGGCAGCAATTCATAAAGAGCTGGTAACGCAGTCCCTATAACAAAATACAGTTAGTTCATAAAATAACACTTAACTCATAAAAATCATAATCCATAACAAATTACCTTTTGTTGATCACTGATGAATGTGTATGTCTTGCTAGTCTTGTACCTCTAAAATTAGATATTAACAGTTCTAGGAACCATGTCCATGAATCCTTGATTTTACCTTCTACAACAGCAAATGCAATAGGCGACATTTGATCATTTGGATCCCTTCCAGTTGCAGCAAGTATTTGTCCACCATAATACCCTTTTAAGAAGCAGTCATTTAGTGGTCTCCTTATCCAAATTGTCTCCTTCGTCAACCAAATTTTCAATATCAGTGGTCCCCTCTACATTATTCTTTCCTAATTCAGTGTCAGTGGTTGCTTCTTCAACAACATTGGGACCTACCACATTGTATTCTAATGAGAGTATTGATCCCTCAATTATTTCAGATTGTAATATAGGATGAATTCAGTGTCAAAGGTAGCTTTTTCAATAACATCGGGACTTACCACATTGTATTCTAGTGAGAGTATTGGTCCCTCAATTATTTCAGGTTGTAATATAGGATGAATAACATATAAATGCAAGTGAGCAACGATTTCTTGGATATGATTAGAGAAAACCAAAAGTTAGATGTGAAGTTAGTGGATTTGATGCCTGGAGTAGGAAGTGACTCCGATAGTGATTTTGAGTTGGATAGTACAGGTGTGTTGAGATTCAGAGGCAGGATTCGTATGCCGGATAATGATGAACTGAAAAAGTCAATTCTGAGTGAAGGACATCGTAGTAGTTTGAGTATCCATCCGGGAGCTACGAAGATGTACCACGATTTAAAGAAGTTATTTTGGCGGTTCGGTATAAAAAAGGATATAGCTCAATTTGTTTACGCCTGTTTGATATGTCAGAAGTCGAAAGTGGAACATCAGAGACCTTCTGGATTTATGCAACCGTTGGAAGTTCCGGTTTGGAAATGGGATTGTATAACCATGGATTTTGTTACGGGTTTGCCGAATACGGCGAGAGGATTTGATGCTATTTGGGTAATTGTGGATCGACTTACGAAGTCTGCACATTTTGTGCCGATTAATATCAGTTTTCCGTTGGTGAAGTTGGCAGAGATTTATATTCGGGTAATTGTGAAGCTGCATGGTGTTCCGTCGAGTATCGTGTCGGATAGAGATCCGAGGTTTACTTCAGAATTTTGGAGGAGTTTACAGAAAGCTTTGGGTACTAAGTTGAAGTTGAGTTCAGCTTACCATCCGCAAACTGATGGTCAGTCAGAGAGGACTATTCAGTCGCTGGAGGATTTGCTAAGAGCTTGTGTGTTGGAAAAGGGTGGTGCGTGGGATACTCATTTACCGTTGATCGAGTTCACGTACAATAACAGTTACCATTCTAGTATCGGAATGGCACCGTTTAAATATTTATATGGTAAGAGGTGTAGAACTCCTCTGTGTTGGTATGAAACAGGTGAGAATGTGGTATTGGGACCAAAAATTGTACAGCAAACTACTGAGACAATTCAGATGATTCGTGAGAGAATGAAAGCATCTCAGAGTAGGCAGAAAAGTTATCACGATAACCGAAGAAAAGAACTGGAATTCAGTGAAGGTGATCACGTGTTCCTAAGAGTTAACTCAGTAACTGGTGTGGGTCGTGCGTTGAAGTCCAAGAAGTTGGATCCTAAGTTTATTGGACCGTATCAGATTTTGCAGAGAGTTGATGTTGTAGCTTATAGAGTGGCGTTACCGCCTGAATTGTCGAATTTGCATGACGTGTCTCATGTGTCGCAACTTTGAAAGTATGTCTCGGATCCATCTCATGTGATTCAGATAGATGAAGTTCAAGTCCAGGAGAATCTTACTGTTGAGACGATGCCGTTGAGGATCGAAGATCGTAAGATGAAACAACTTCGAGGGAAGGAGATATCTTTGGTGAAAGTGGTTTGGGGAGGTGTTGCAGGAGGCAGTATGAACTAGGAATTGGAAAGCAGGATGCGGGAAGCGTATCCGGAATTATTTCCATCAGGTAATTTTCGATGACGAAAATAATTAAAGTGGGGGAGAGTTGTAACACCCATTTTAATTATTTAGTCTTTTTAGTGTTATTTTATTTTGGTGTGTCCTTATGTGGGGGTGTGTCTGAGTGTGTTGGTGGGTGTCCATGATTTATAGGGAATTGGTTAATAAAAAGGTAGACTCTAATATTAATATAATATAATTAATAATGATAATAATTTAATAATTAATAGTAATGTTATTATTATTATTATTTGTATTATTATGAGATTAAATAAATAAAATGAGGATTAAGAGATATAAGAAGGGGTTTTGGGGGAAAAGAGGGATAGAACACGATAACTTGTGGAAAGAGAACAGATTGAGAAGGAAGAACAAGGAAGGGGAGAAGCAAGGCTAGGGCTACCCATTCTTCAGAGTTCTTCAACAATCTGAGCAATTAATCGAGGTAAGGGGGGGGGGGGAGAAACTGATTGGGATTGGTATTTTACATTAATTGGGTAGAGGGGATTCCTTAACCCCATAGGGATTTGATGAACAAGATGAGTATATTGTTATGTTTATGATTGTTGCTGCTATTGATGAAGTTGTGCATATATTGTTGTGATTTTGGTGAGTTTCTGCGTAACGTAGCAGAGTTGTGGTTTTGGTGGGGTTCTGTGTAACTTCTATGGTTTTGGTAATGACCATGAGTTTTGGTTCTGGAGAGAAAGTTTGAGGGACAATTGATTAGAGTAGTGTATAATAGTGGTAGTATTAATAGGTAGAAGATGGATGAAGAATGATAGGCTTGGAAGTAATCAAAAGTGACATTTTGGACAGTGAGGGTTTTGAGTATCGCAGACGCTCACTAGCAGGTTCGCTAGGCGAGCAGGTAGCGAGCACTCGCTAGGTGTTGCACCCTAAAATTTTCTCAAACTATTTCACTTGGTTTATGTTTCAATTGCATTGTCATTTGCATAATAAGTCATGTATATAGCCTAATCATTTGCATAGCATAGCATAACAAGTCATCTAACAAGGGATCAAGTGCCTTTCTTATCAGAAAGAGGCCCATCATGGGGTTTTAGTCAAGTTCAAGACCATCCAAGTAATCAAGAAATGAGTTGAAGCTTTGAAAAGTTTGAAGGTCAACCAGTGGATTTCTCTCCCAATCTTGGGGATATGTTGAAGATCATCAATGAGTGTGTGAGCCATGGAAGGTGTACAAAGATCATGGAAGACCTAGAGGGTCATTTTGAAGATGAGACAAATCATTAATACAAGTACAAGAGCCAGAGTTGAAGTACAGTCAACTAGGGTTTCATCTGGGTCAACCCTAGGTCAACTGAGTGATTGAAGAGCATCAAGGTTTAGTTGGAGGTTGTGGGATTCATGAATTGATATGTGTATACATGTGTGGTGTTGTTGAAGGTGAGATAATACTTAGAAAGGGGGGATTGAATAAGTATGGAAAGTTAAGACTTGAAAATAATCACACAATTATTTTTATCCTGGTTCGTTTAACAACTACTCCAGTCCACCCTTCCAGAGTGATTTGCCTTTCTCAACAAGGACTTAATCCACTATTAAATCAAACTGATTACAATAGTATCACCTAAGAACAACAGTTCTTAGTCTTCTCAAGAGCTACTGATTCTAACTGAATCCTCTTAAGGAATATCCTTTACAATAAATGTAAATTAAATACAAGAGTTTTTAATGCTTCTATAAAGCTATAATCACAACAGTGATTTTTCTCTTAAGTTTAAGTACAATGAGATTCTATGAAGAATAAGAATGAAAGCTTTTAGAATATTATGATTTCTTTTCAGCAAGTGTGTAGCCCTGAAGAATGAAGTGGAGATCTCCTTTTATAGGCAGCTGAATCATGCAAGCTGAACGTTGAAAAGAGAGTCCCAAAAGGTCTGAGCCTTTTTGTCTTCACATCAACTGACCTTTCCTTGAAATAGATGGCACAGAAAAATCCTTTTTGTCTGTGTAAGTGTGTCTAGCACAAATAAGGAAAGAGACGTTGAATAGTTCCAACGGATATATTCTTGAAAACACTTCTTCAGTTTCAGCAAGTTCTTCAGAGTCTGAATGGATCAGAGTCTTCTAATGAGATTCAGAACTAGCTGTATCAGAGTCTTCTGCAGCGTGTGTGCTTCTAGCGTGTTTATCATCAGAGCATTTTGACACAGAACTTCAGTACTTGGCAGCGTAGGTACTTTCAGAAACTTCTGTAGACTAATGCTTTGAGAAACTCTTCAATCAATATTCTTCTATACTTCTGATGCTTCAGCTTCAGATGCTTCTGACTGTCTTCAGATGCTTCTGATTCAGAATGTTCTGGAGCTACTTTCTTCAGATCCTTCTGGAGACTACGCTCAAGATCTTCTGTGAGGAGCAAACAGATTCTTCTGTAAGATGCATCTGGCGCTTCAGAGTCAGAATAACTTCTTGTATTCAAGGCAGATTTGCTTCTAGAGAGTTAATATAATTTCAATCTGCAGTAAAACTCTCAAACAAATTTTAGAGCATATAATTCTTAAATATAAATTTCCTAACAGTTATCATCAAAACAAAGAGTAATTATTAAGAACCAATCTGTGTTCTAACAGTTGTACCAAGGATAAATCAAA